TCAAGATACAGTCAATGTCCTCTAAAAGACACTAGGTTGACAGCACAATTCACATGTATTCATAACCATAGATTAGAGACAGACCAGCAAAATTCAGAAATCTGGAAAGCAAAATAGCCACGGTGAGGACTCAACAGAAGGCAACACAATAATTACCAATACACAGACCTACATCCATAAGCTTCCTTTATAAAAGAACAAGAAACAAATTCTCACCACCACCCGTTATCAAATAAGCATAATAAGGTCCATCTGTGAGAGAGAGTACTGAGAATACAATGCAACAATAGAAGTGTGTTCTCTGTAATAGAACAAGATCACACACACATCAACCCACTTACACAGAACATCATAAACTACTTGCTTAAAGCACCACCCATTTTATTGCCTCTTTTACTTTCAAAATTCCTACTTCCAATTACACCACCATTAAAGCTAATCATCACTCACATAGATTTACCATAAATACAACTACTAAGAACCCTAAAACATACAACGATAAGAACCCTCAGTAATCTCAACAATAAGAAAGTATAAAAACTACTTTCTCTATAATGGGTCGGAAAAAAGGAGATTAAAATCCATTACTTCAGAGCAAAACCTGCAACTGTCAAAAAAATCACATTTTTACACTCCAAATTCCTACTTCCATTGACACCCCTGTTAAAACTAATCATCAGTAGCATAAATTTTACCATAAATACAACAAACAAGAACCCTAAAACGTGAAAGGGTAAGGACACTTGCTAATATCAACAATGAGATTGTAAGAAAAACTACTTTTTACAACATGGGTCGGGAAAAAAAAGAGATTAAAAGACATCACAGCACAGGAAAGCTTCTAAGAATGTGAAAAAAGTCACATTTTTAGATGACAAATCTAAACAGAAACTACAATAAACAATGGTATGTGAGTAAAGAAATGCAGGCAAAGAGACACTTACGATTTGATTCGGTAGAGAAAGAGATCAGAAGGGTTGTTGCTGCGGAGGAGCAAAGAGGCGGAAACTAAGGCACTGGCTTTTACATGTAAACCTAGGGCTTTAGGTTTTATTGTTGGGAAGAAACACTTTTGGGCCCAAAAATAATCATCTAAAATGGCCCAAAATGTATAACTTTTTCAAATGAAAATTTTCGCAAATAGCCACTATAATTTATTTTATACCTATAATCTGTATATTTACGTGTTACAGTTACAATTTAAGCTATTGTTTTTTTATAATTTGTGGATAAGTGAATTTGTATAATTCATGGGTTTGTTTGTGTAACTAATTTATTTTTTATAAACACAAAACAACAAATTCATACAAATACATATGTTTGAACTCTAAATAGTTATAAAAATTATATTATACAAAAGTTAAAAATTAAATTATACAAATTATAAAATATACACACGGACGAATTATACAAACTCAAATTTCAGCCACATAATTAGTACTGAACGTTAGTCATGAGTTGAAATTATCTAAAATTATATCCATGACAGCTACGTAACTAATATTTGCTTAACCATGTAATTCTCCCTTTTTCAAATGGACAAAATAGGTATCTTTTAGTTATTTTACTAGAGATGATGTGGAATGTCTCTAAGGGCTAGAAACTTATATTAGCTAATTTTATTAATGAGATGCATTTCGACTTCACTTTCTGTTTTGGGCACTACTTTTACCTTCCACCTTATTTTTATTTTATTTTTGAAGATTTCATATATTTATTTATTTCAAAGTAAATTTGAAATTTTTTGGTGATTTAAGGGCAGAATAGTAAATTCCTAACTATAAATGTAGAAGCATCTTCAATATATTTTCAAGTTGGAAACCGTCTCTTTCATTCTTGGAGCTTCCAGAGTTCTTCGATTGGCGGAAATACATAGTCTATAAACGTACATTTCATTTTCCAAGAGAAGAGGGGAGTACTATGTCAATTCTCCTCAACTAAATTTAAAGAATTTCTTGCAATTTAAGGTATATTTCTTCTCAATTTCCGTTCAAATTTTCTTAGTTGAGGTTGTAGATTGGAATTTTGGGTTGAGAAAATTTGAAACTGAATTTTTGGTTTAAGGAGAAATAGGTTTTTCCTTGCTATTTTTCTTAGTTATTATTGATGTTGTTTTGCTAGCAGGCAAACAAAGATTTCTTCTTAAGTTATTGTAATCTCTTTAGATTTCAAGATACTCTTTTAATTCTCTTTATTTCCGCAGAGAGACCATTGACTTGCCTTTTTTTGTAATGTTCTTATATTCTAGATAATACTTTTTCAGTTCATTCAACTTCTTCTTATTTGAGTGATCTACCCAAAATAAACTTCTTAGTTTGTTGATGATTGTTTCATAATAGTAAGATTGGATTAAATAGTTCTGATAAAAGAATTAGACAATTTCAAATTATAATTCTTTCTTAAAAAAGTTGAACAAGAAAAATATGGCACTTTTCTTAATTGGTATATGTAGTTATCTTTTTTTTTTTTTAATACAGCAGGTGATGCTTATTTATTATGAATTTTGGAGAGCAAAGAAGTTTGAATGATCATATATTGTGATGTGGTTTGTTAACTGATGAAAACATTACGAACTTTTTTTCACTCATTACATAGTAATGAAAAATGCTATTTAATATCATATAAATTTATCGAAATGACTAGTTTACAAATATATGTGTATTTTTTTTTTGACAAACACGTCCTTAAGAATTATCAGTGGATCAAAGTTTAGAATCGTTTTCTGTTCTTCTTCACTTATTTAAAGTATAGAAAGATTAAAGTCGAATGGATGTTTGTTATTGAATTTTGGGTTCTCAAAAAGCGCAAACAACCTTTGTTTAACAATATATTTCTCCTTGACATAGGAGCGTTATACGTAGGTTATCACCATTGACCTACCATACAAAGAGAGTGTTGTTCAAAAACATTCCAAAGTTATGTCTTAAACATAAATTTCATCATTCATTATCCTTGTGAAGGATAAACATCATGGAAATAAGCAAAATACATATAACAGTTAATCTACGGTTAAAAATCAATAACTATCCAATCATACTTTGCATTTGACTGAAAACTTCCACTACAACCTATGAATCAAGTTCTAATCTCACTTCTCTCATTGAGAAAGCAAATGAAAAAGTTAGGCCTTTCATTTTTTATTGTTCTGTCAAATATATTGTCGTCTCTTGACCTTTGAGAATTATATTGTCGTCTCTTGACCTTTGAGAATTAGTATGTTATCTAAATAACAAAATCTCAACATATAATTGTAAAGCCAAGCAATAAGCTTGAATTTATGCATTTATAGCGAGGAATTTCAAAAGTAAAATCACCAAAATAAATAAATAAATACATAATAGATATTTCATAACTAAATCAAACAGTTCATTAGTACATTTTACAAACAGTAATAGACATTTCATAACACTTTTCAAAAAATTAGTCATACTTGGTGAGTAAGCATAACAATAGCAAGGCCATGGAAACACAAAGTGAACTAGATTGAAATAGCAAGAAACATATAAGCAATAACCGGAGGATTTTAGGGGAAAAAATCATGTTTTAATTTAACTTTCAAATTTCATCAACTGATTTTTCTTAAAGCTCATACGAAAATTGAGGAGAAAACATATAGAGAAGAAAACCCAGAGAATGAATCTAAAATAACTGAAGAGGAAGAGAAAGAGACAAAAAATAATTACCTCAATATTGTGCAGTACTTGAAGAAGCTTGAAGAGGAAAAGTTACGAAATCAAAATATTGAATTTTATATTATAGACGAGAGATATTTGATGAAGATCCCTGGAAGCACCCATCAATGCCATGCACAATAAAATTGCTAGCCACACAACATGTGGAATAAGATGGAAGTAGGGTGAAAGAATGACAACAAACTGAAATAATTAGAATATCTTCGACCAACAAAAAATTTTACCCCGAGCTGACATGTTGAAACTGTCTCTTCTATATAACTAAAAAAAATATCGCATATAATTTAAATTCCTTGTAATTTCTTTCATTTAAAATATAATCTTTATTCAAATCATCATCATAATCTATTGAACACTAAAATTTAATAATTACCTATTCACACATTACACATGTCTATGTTTCAATTTTTGAGAAAAATACATCTACTATAAAATTGAAAGTGCTATTTTAGGCTCACGATTATAATAAAAATAAAAAAAATGAAAAATACACAATAAGAAGTCATAGAGTTTTAATTATATTTAAAATTATCAACTACCTAATTTATATAACAGTATCATATATTATTTATAATAACACATAAAAAAATATGCGCCATGATTACCCCCATTTGGTTAAAAAGAAAAGAGAATTCCCACTTGGGCGGGAAAGCAAAGAATATCCCAGTTTAGACAAGGTAAATCTAATGTCAAACTGATTAATTTTTGTGGTTCTCAACTTCTCATGCGACCAAACGTTTGTCAAAAATTTAAACAAAGGCTGCTGTCGCCGTCGCCGTTGCCGCCGGTCCCTTCGTCTCCGGTTAGACCCCACGGTCTCCATGGATCTTCCTCCATATCACCACCAGCACCACCGTCACCATCACCACAGGTACGTTCAACCTCCTCCAAACTTTTCCCATAACCCTAATTTCTTCCACCACCTTCCTCCGCCGCCGCAGCCGCCACAGCAACGGCTTCCACCTCCACCACCACTACTATCCAATCTCCCTCCACCACCACCTCAGCGTCACATCTCTCACCCCCCTCTTCCTCCTTCCCCATCCCTTCCCTTGCACCACAAATCCCAGTTCTCCTTCCCTTCTCGTCATTCAGAAAACCCTCGATACGATTATCACCAAAATCGCTCTCCCCCTAGGGTTTCCTCTAATATAACCCTAAATCAACCTCCGTACCAGCTCCCTCACCCCCATCCCTCAAGTTTTCATTATAACGACCATTACCATAAGCCCCCTCCTCCTCCTCCACCGAGGTTTATTGTGACTGATTTTACCTCAAGTGGGTTGAGAGAGAATCGTGCTAGCTCTGTAAACGACAGTCAAGAGCCTCTTAGGATTAGGAGAGATGTGAATAGCAAGTATGATGATGATGAAAGGTACCGTCTTGAGAGGCGTAGAATGGAGATTGATATAAAACCATGGAGGGATTTTAGAAAGAGTCCGGGGAATTATGATGTGCGTGTTGATAGATATGAAGGTGAGAGATGGGAATATGGTGATAATGTTGATGAAGTTCTAGTTGGTTCTTCTTCTAGGCGAGTGTCTTCTTTGGATAATGGTAATGATTGCACTGATGTTAGGTTTAGCAATAGGTTAAGAGTGGACAAGGAGGAAATTCATAGGTCTCCACAGAAGAAGCAAGTGCAGAAGAAGAGTGCATTACTCAGGATTCAATGTGGAAAAGCTAACAACAGGAGTAGAAATCAGGACTATGACTTGAGTTCTGGTGCGGTAAGGGGAAAGCAGAAAGATGTGTTTGAGAGGTTGGAGAAAAGGGTTGAGGAAAGAGAGGGAAGCCAGATGGAGCTTGATGTTTCATTTAAATCTAATGCACTTGTGGCAAAGGCCATTATGACCCCGTCAAGCTCCGCCATTGACTCAGACAGAAGTGAAGCACCTCGATGTAAGAAGATTAGAAAAGTGAATTTCTCTGGTTCTCCAACGAAGAGAATAGGAGACGATTCGGGAAAGGGTTATGGTTCAGCAAATGATTCTGGTTTCCGACCGAGTTCTAACCAAGAGTTCAATTGTTTGGCAGATAAAATTACGGTTTCTGCAGTTGGAAGTTCATCTAATTGCACTTTGGATTCTTACAAAGATTCAAGACACTTGGCAGATAAAAGTACAGATTCTATTGATGGACGCACATCTAATGGTACCTTGAATAACAACAAGGAGTCTCAACTTTTGCCTGATGAAGCTACAGTTTCTGTTGCTAGTAGGGCATCTAACAGCACTTCATTGCTGAGTTCCACTGTGACAAATGATTTAACTGGAACCAAAGAAAGCAAGGAATCTGCAGAGAACAAGGTTTTGAATCAGGGTAGTAATCATGTT